ACACTAAACATTATTAATTGTAGTCCAAGTCTGCAGTCTTCCCTTACTACATAAATTTGAGCAAAACACTAAATCTTCAAACCTTTTATTCCCCATGTGGTAATCAAGAGAGTGTGTCACAGACTCCCTAGGATTGGAATAATTGCAATCAGGAATATAGAAAGAAGTTCTTAGATTTAAAAACAACTTTTTTTTTGAGCTTTCTATACTTCAGAAGCTTTTCTCAGCCACAGGATGAGCTAGGTTTTCTAACTGAACTTGTCAAAGAGTGCAGACGTTTGGAAGAACAGAATAGGGGGGCTATGTGAACCAAAATGAGGAACTGAGAGATCTGCAGAAGTAAGCCAGTACTGCTCCTGAAAATTCACATTGTCACCCTAGATGGGATTTGGGGGTTATATTACACTGCTCATGGAAATACTAATGGTTCTGTTTACATCCTTATCTCTGCTGAGAGGAAGTCATTTTTACCATGGAGGCTAAGCAAGTGCAGGACATGCTTCTTTGTGCTTTCTACATTCTGTTTGCTTCCTCTAACATCATCTGTGAGCAAGAACTCCAGATCTGTTTTGTTCATTATTGTGACCAAAGCATGAACAGGAGATAAGGTGCCTACCAGTTCACTTTATGAAGAAGCAGGATAGCTAACAAAAACTGACCACACAGTGGGTAATTTTTTGGTTTTGGACAGAGACAGGAGATACCAATAACTTTAAAGCCAAAAAGCATCAACTTCCTCTGAGCTCTACACAAGTAAGCTCTGAATTTCTAGAAAAATGTAAATTATTAGTGAGCATAAATAGCATGAGAAAACAGAGCCACTTCAGAACAAGTTGACTGATAATTCCACTGTGATTCTTTGACCAAAGTGCAACATAAAACAGAAAATACCAAAATTCATTTCTACTTACTAATGATGAAACAGAAATGTTAGAAGCTTGAAGAAAGTTTTTGCTTTCTTGAATTTTGTCTTCTAAATGCATTTTTATTGCAGAAAAAAAACCCACATATATACACCTAAATATATATATATATTTCTCTGACTTCTTTTCTATAAAAGCCTTTGTTTGTGAAACCACAACTTCCTGCTCCTTTATGTTGAGATACACAAGTCTGGTCACACATTCAAACCTTCTAGTGGGACCTTCAGACCATGGTGACATCATCATTTCACAGGTCAAATTGGTCTTCCTGTCTGAGGCTGAGGTGAGGGACACCTTGAGTAGCCACCAGCCCACAAGGAAAGATGGGCTGACTCACTGTCTTCACTGGGAGGACTGGTTAGTGCTGGCCAGCTTCACATCTCTTGGTAATTCTGTTTAAAGGTGGAACTTTCACAAAACGGAAATATGGTAAACTCTACAGCTCTTACGAAAACCGAAACAAATTCTATTTTGAGATTTCTTGTGACCATAACCACCCCATGTGTCCTGGCATTTATAATCACAGCTTTTCTAATACTCATTTGTGAATAGCAAAAGGAACCAAATAGTATTTTATGACAAACAGACTATCAAGCCAGGACCTACAGATACACTGAATAAAGCCATAAACCATTTGAATATCTAAATTATTCATTATTAAATGATGAAATAAATAAATAGCTAAATAAATAAATAGCTAAATAAATAAATAAACTAGCTCTAATAATACCAGCTAAGTGAAAAATCAGCAGCACAGATTTACTGGGTGGACTGAATATCAATGTCCACAATTGTTTTGAATTGGAATGTTTGCAGTTTCTCATTTAAAATGCAAGAAAAATAATTTTAATAGCACTATACATTCAGATACACTAGATACAGATGAAGTGATCAGTAGCTATCACACAAATGGCAGTGGCTCCCTATGGGCCTGCACCTATACAGATCTATTCTGTTATTGCAAAATATTTAATGAGAAGAACTACTTTGCTCTTACATGCTTACCAAAGTTCTCAGCCTTCTAAATCTTCCATCCAGAAGTCAGTACTAACTGATCCCTTCAACAAATAGATTATAACTACCAGAACAGCATAAGCTTACACTGTGGATTCAGAGAGAGACTTAAACAGGACACCAGCAGCAGAATTAATAATAATAATGGATGATGAACTCTATTGGAAAGAAGTTCAAAGAACTGGGAAACATGAGCAGGACTTGTTTTCATTAGAAGTAAAAAATATGTGTAAGTACTGTAATAGTCTGATTTCTGATACTGTTATAAAACACTGAACAAAATAAACTTGAGAGGGAGTGGTTTATTTCATTTTACATGTGACTACTCAATATTGGGGGAACATAATACAAAAATTTAGGTAAGGTCTCAGATCAGAAACCACAGATCAACTCTCTTATTGACTTGATCCACGGCTCAGGTTTAGCTATTTTTCTTATATAGCCCACAAACTGCTACTTAGAATTGGTACCATCCACAACTGGATGTGTCTCCTACATCAATTAGTAATTAAGAACCTGCCCCCACAGACACGTCCAGAGGCCAATGTGATAGAATAAATTCTTTTAGGCGTGTCAAGTAGACCACAATGAGAGTCTTCAGTGGGTGATCACAGCTTCTCTGATTCAAGCGATGGCAATGGTCATTCCCAAATCAGATGCTACACACCTGGGTTACAAGGTAGAGCTTGGTTGCACACCTGTAATTTCAACACTGAATAAGTCAGGGAAGGAGGATCAATAACTCAAAGTCATCCTCCTCTGCAGAGTGAGTTTGAAGCTAGGCTGGGATACGAAATCCTGACCCCACAAAATCAAAAGAAAATGAGCAAACCAAAATCTGGACTCAACACAGTAAGAGAATAAACATTGTTTTTTCTTAAGCCACAAATGTGTGCTCTTTATTAGAGCAGCCCCAAGAAACTAACACAGTTAGAAAAATAATAGAAATTTAGTAATTTTAACAAAAGTAACAAATATATTTAAAAAATGAGTTTACTCAAATTAACAGATAGAAATGCCTAAATTGTGTTAAATCTATTAAATAAATGTTGTTCCTAATCTAGCAAATACCTTATCCCAAGGATATTTTCAGGTCCAGATTATTTCTTGGTGATCAAATATTTAAGAAAAGAAAATGCAAATCCTTCCAAAAATTAATCTTTCAAATATACAAGAATGACTTCTAAAAACTCCAAGTAAACATTTAAGGCCAGTGTTTTCTCTATATCCTAAACAGAAAAGGGCCAACTGTGATGGGTCACACCTTTAATCCCAGCATTCGGGAAGCAGAGGCAGGCAGACTTCTGTGAGTTCAATATCAGTCTGGTCAATATAGTGAATTCAAGGCTAGGCAAGACTCCAGAGTAAAAACCTATCTCAAACAAACAAGCAAGCAAACAAACAATTAACTATGTCTTTAAAGAGAATTATATGACTCACATCCAGAATTGTAACACTTAAGTGACTTGAACAGGTGTACTGCCAAGAGATCAAGGCCAGCCTGAGCTACATAGAGTTCTAGGCCAGTGAAAGAAACAGTGTGAGACCCTATTGCAAAAAAAATAAAACACATGAAATGGGGGAAGAAAGTAAGGAGAGAAAGCTGCAGGCTAATCTGTTACAAATATAAACACATGCACTTGTTTAAAGTATTACCCAAAGAGAGAGACAATGGGGAGGATGCCATGATAGACTTAAGGGGATCACATGGCTATGGCACTCATGAAGTCACAGCATCTTTGGTTGCTTGCTTAGTGTCTGTACAAGATTGAGCATTTAGGTTGTTTTACATTCTGACTATTACAAATAACGCTGCTATAAACATAGCAGAGAAAGTGTCCTTGTGATATGATTGAGCATCCTTTGGATATATGCCCCAAAGAGGTATAGTTAGGTCTTGTGGTAGATTGATTACTGGTTTTCTGAGGAACTGCCATACTGATTTCCAAAGTGGTTATACAAGTTTGCACTCCCATATCCTTGCCTACAACTTCTGAAGCAGACTTAGGTTTTATCTGAGCACAGGGCAGATATAGGGACCCTAGTTCAGGCAGTTTTACTGGAACTCCAGGTAGGACACACACCACCTCCCACTTTAACCTCTTTAAGCCTGCCCCAAAACCCCAGACTGCACCCCGACATCTGGGCTCCATATCCCAGCCTACTACTTTAGAAGTTTTAGGCTTTATCAGAGGCTAGGCAGGATCAAGGAACCCCAGGTAAGACACTGCTCATCACCTGCTAACATTCTTTAAAACAATCCAACAGCCCCCCAAATACATCTCCTTCCCAGGGCTCCACACTAGGGCCCACAGTCCTGACAGCTTTTCCAGAGGCCACAGTGGTCCTAGAGACCCCAGGTAAGACATTGCCCACTGCCTAATAAACTACTTTAATCTTGTCTAAGAACTCTAGACTGCATCCCCTTCCTTGGGTTCCATATCCTGGCCTACAACTTTGGAAGAAGACTTTGGCTTTACCAGAGTCCAAGCCAGATCTAGGGATCCCAGGTCCCCCAAAACCCCAGAGGGGACACCCTACAGGATCTGAAGACTCACTAGTCTTCTGGCCATTTAGGTCAGAAGACCAAAGAGGAAAGAGAAACAAAGGAACAAAATACCCATTCAACAAAGAAAAACACAGGTATCAACACCTAGACTTACAATCATCCCAAATCCAGGTGCCTAAATGCCAGTATAAGAACACAATCAATAATAGAAAGGGTAATATGGCACCACCAGAGCCTAGCAATCCTAAGACAGAAAGACCTGAACAATCCAACAAAAATGGAAACACCTTAAAAAGGATTTTATGAAGATGATAGAGGATCTTAAAGAGGAAATGAAAAAAAATCCCTTAAAGAAATTGAGGAAAAGACAAACAAAAAAAATGGAAGAAATCAATGAATCCCTAAAAGAATGCCATGAAAGCCAAAGGGAAAAACAAAAGCAAAAACATATAAAACAGGTGAAGGAAACTTTTCAAGACCTGAAAATAGAAATAGAAGCAAAAAAAAAAAAAAAAAAAAAAAAAAAAAAAAAAAAAAAAAAAAAAAAACCACGAATGAATGGAATCTTGGAATTGGAAAATCTGGGTAAGTGAACAGGAACTACAGATGCAAGCATCACCAACAGAATACAAGAGGTGGAAGACAGAATTTTTCAGACCTTGAAGATACAATAGAGGAAATAGATTCATCAGTCAAAGAAAATGTAAAATCTAAAAATTTCCTAACACAGAACAACCAGGAAATCTGGTATACTATGAAAATTTTAAACATAAGAATCATAGGAATGGAAGAAGAAGAAACTCAGCTCAAAAATCCAGAGAATGTATTTAACAAAATCATAGAAGAAAATTTTCGCAAACTAATAGGATGGTCCTATAATAGTTCAAGAAGCTTAAAGATCACTGAATAGACTGGACCAGAAAAAAAGTCACCTCGCCACATAATAATCAAAACATTAAACATAGAGAACAAAGAAAGAATATTAAAAGTGGCAAAGAAAAATAGAGTCTTATAATATAGTTTCATGAGCAACCAAAAGCAATTGAAGTATCCTTCCTCTGTTGTTTTGGAGGCTTCTGGGACCTTCCTGACCCAAACCGCACTGGGACATACTGAACTTCTGGCACTAAGATTTTTCTTTGATGGCTTATGATTTCTGGAATTGTCATTATGAACCATCAGGGGTACCTCCATTCAGCTGAAGGTGGCAATATTGGGCTTATTACAAGTTTTAATCTGATAGCATTCAGTCTTGTGTAGTGAATTGACTCAGGAAACATTAGCCCCTTTCTCAGAACACACTGGCTATTGATAAATGCGGGGGAAGGGTAATTACTGTCTTCATTTGTGTCCCTACCAGTGAGCACACCAGACTCAATGGATATAGTTCTTCCTTTGTACTCTGCATAGCTCTAGAGATTGACCTAAATGGAGCAGTGAGCAAGTGAAGGAAACACAGACACATGGATGGGCATAGCAAAGCTGTGATGAGTTGATCTGGGCTCCCTGATGGATAAGATGCAGCATCCTGAAAGCACTACATAAAGTTAAACAGAGAGACAAAGTTATTGTTTGTGCCTGAACAAGTAGGTAGAGCTTATGGTGTACAGGGAAACAAGGAGTCAAGTATAGTTTGTCTCAGTAGGAACAGTCTCTGTAGGGGAGCTGTCTTCAGACCGGTAAACATCTTAGGGAAGAAAGCTACAGTGGACATTTTCTGCACGCACTGTCAACATTCACACTCAGACCTGAAGAAGGCTTTGCCATCCCTCTGAACTTCTCCCGGGGAAAGCTTTGCCACTCCCAATGCGCTGGGGATTGGACCTTGACATGACCTTTCCCATGTCAAATAATAATATTCTCTTAGGACTTCATTCCCTCCCTACACTCACAGTCACTTGGACAGCAGTGGTAAACGTCAGTGAGGCACAGCAGGGAGACGGTGGTGCACACCTTTAGTCCCAGCACTCAGCAGGCAAAGGCAGGTGGATCTCTGTGAGTTCGAGGCCAGCTCCACCTACGAGTGAGTTCCAGTGCAGCCAGGGCTACACAGAGAAACCCTGTCTCAGAAAACAAGCAAGCAGCACAAAACTAAACAAAAAGACACCAGTATGTGAAAGAGACATGTAGAAAGAAAAGGGTGATGGCAGAGGATGGGAAGGAGATAAAGGAGTGAGGGTGAATGTCATCAAAAGGCATTCTACACAGATAGGAAATTGAAAAATAAATTTTTAAGATATTAAAAAGGAAACAAATCAATCAATGCAATTTACCAATTTAAATTAATATATCAGTTTTCTGTTGTTGTAATAAAATGCCTAAGGCTGGATGATTTATGAAGAAAAGAGGTGCACCAAGCTCACAGTCTGGGAGGTTGTAGCACAAGACTTGGCAGCCCTATCTGCTCATCAAGATGGCAGGTGGCATTATGGAGGAACCAAATAGAAATATATGGAAAATGGAGAAATCACATGGTGAAGACAGGAAACCAGAAGACGAGAAGGACCCTCTATGGTTTTCATAACAGACAACTCTGGAGAACACAGTCATTCCTCAGGAGCAGCGTTAATTCACCCCTAGGGCAGAATTTACAAAGATCTAGTAACTGAGAGTCGGCAGAACTTCCTGTAGATTTGATCACATTTGCACTGTGCACCTGAAGAGCAAGATTTCAACAAAGGAACTTATGGGAGACAAAATGATATCTACTCACTTAAAAATGGATATTAGCTAGAAAGTAAAGGATAACTATAGTACAACCACTAGAGAGGTTAAGTAACAAGGAGGGCTGAAGGGGATTGATTCGATCTTCCTGGGAAGGGGAAATAGAGGAGATTTCATGGGTGGCCTGGCTTTGGGTAGGGATGAAAACATAAAGGATCAGGTGGGAGGGAGGGGTAGAGTACTGAAAGACACAACTGGAAGGGGGAGGGCATTTCAGGGTCAGATAGAAACATGGTGCAAGAAAAACCCCAGGAATCTACAAGGATGACCCCAGCTAAGACTCCTAGCAATAGGGAATATGTACCTGAACTAGCCATCTCCTGTGACCAGGCAAGACTTCCAATGGAGGGACTGGGACACCAACCCAGCCACATAACCTTCGACCTATAGTCTGTCCTGTCTATTAGATGTGCTAGAATTGATGCTTATGCCAGTTGTCACCACAGAGGCTTCATCCAGCAACTTACAGAAACAGATGCAGAGGTCCATATCCAAACATTAAGCTGAGCCTGGGGAATCCTGCTGAAGAGAGGATTATAGGAGCCAGAGGGGTTAAGGATATCACAAGAAAACCCACATAATCAACTAACCCCGGGCTCATAGGAGTTCACAGAGTCTGACCTGACAACCAGGAAGACTGCCTGGGACTGACCTAGGACCTTTGCATATATGACAGTTATGTAGCTTGATGTTTTTGTGGGACTCCTAACAGTGGGAGCAGGGGCTGTCTCTGACTGTTTTGCTGGCTTTTAGGATCCTTTCATACTGGGCTGCCTTGCCCAACCTTAATAAAAAGGGAAGTGCTTAGTCTTACTGTAACTTGAGATGCCATGTTTTCTTGATATTCCTGGGAGGCCTGCTCTTTTCTGAATAGAAATGGAGGATGGGGGGCTCAAAGAAGAAGTGGGGGAAGGGACTGGGAGGAGAAAAGGGAGGGGGAACCTGAGTTCAGGGTGTAAAATACATAAATAAATATTAGAAAACAAAGAAAACAATCCAGTTAAAACGGGGTACAGTTCTAAACAAAGAATTCTCAAAAGAGGAAACAAGTGGCTGAGACGCACTGGAAATGTTAAACATCTTTCTTTCTTTCTTTTCTTTTTTTTTTTTTGAACAGAAAAGCCCATAAGTAATTTATTGTGTTTTCAAGACACTACAACGTAGATTCCTCTCCCAGAGAAGGGTCTTTCAAAGGCAGGGAACTGGCATCCAGATGCGTTGCTGCTCACTTGTCATTTTCGTACATGGCTGGATTCTTCTTTTCGGACCTTTCAAACTCCTGGTTCCCCCATGTGTAAATCAGATGAAATACTACAGAGGCAGAGCCATGCACAGGATACGCTCGCGAGTGCGGTGCAGCACATTGGGGATGCCGTTGCTGAAGTAGTTTGGGAAGGCTCGCTGGTCAAAGGGTGACAAGCCTTTGAGAAGACTTTGGGAAGCATTAGCTTCCCAAACTCACAGCCCATGGTGGCAGCGGCTCTAAAGAGGGAGGATACAAGCATGGTTTAGGTCCGCCAGGAACTCCCGCTACCCCGTACCGGCCCTCAGCACCAGGTCCTAAACATCTTTCTAAAAGTAAAATATCATTTCGTTTTAACGTAATTTTGTTATATTTTTGTCCTTTAAAACAATTTTTAAATTTAAATGTATTGTGATTATATTATTCTCCCTCATGTCCTTCCAGAGCTTCTCCCGCTCCTACCTACCCAGCTTTAGGTTCTTCCTCAAAAAAAAAAAAAAAAAAAAAACTCAAAAATACAAAAAGCAAAATCCCAATACAAAAACAAACCAAAAAAAAAATGGAAATCAAAACTACTTAGAGATTTTTATCTTACACCAGTCAGAATTACCAAGATCAATAAAACAACAGGTGAGGATGTGGTATAGAGGAACTCTTCTCCACTGCTGATGTGAGTGCAAACTTGTTCAGCCACTGTGGAAATCAGTGTGGCAGTTCCTCAGGAAGATGGGAATCAATTTACCTCAAGATGCAGCTGTACCACTCCTGGGCATATACCTAAAGGACTGTAAATCCTACAGTACAGACCCTTGCTTAACCATCTGTCTACACATAATAGCCAGTTATAAAAACAGACTATATGTCCACCAACAGATGAATGGACAGGGACAGTTGGGTTCACAATAACTCGAGTGAAAAATGTAGTTTCTGTATCCTTAACTGCTTAGTCATCTCTTCAGCCTCCTCAAATTAATATTTTGAGCAGAGTTTAATATCACACTTACTCTGTGGGGTCTACTGTGGGAATTCTCTGTTTTGTCTCAGTGGAGGTGTCCACGTGTGGAATGACATGGGCCTTTACATTTATAACACCCTTACTGGGAAATGCACCTGTCCTCCATGTTCAGTGTTTCTTCACTATGCTCCCAAGCATATCTTCTCACATTAGTCTTGAGCGTATTACCACTGTGCACCCAGTGCAACCACAGAGAACAGCGAGAAAGACTGGTGAAAACGGTGTGTTCACCAGGCTCTCCCATAATCTCTTACTCACTTGGTTTTCTTCTAACGTTCCAGGGTCTGGCCTCTGTGTACAGTGAAGAGGGCAGGGAAGTATTTCATCAGTGCCAAGCTGGTCTGTATGTGAACAGTTTTAAATGTTTTTCTGTTTTATATGTATGGATGTTTTGCCTGCATGTATGTCTGTGTACCAGATATGAGCCTAGTATGCCTGGAAGCCAGAGAGAGGTCAGAACCCTGGAACTGGACATATAGATAGTTCTTAGGCCCTGTGTGGGTGCTGGCAATCAAAACTGGGTCCTTGAGAAGAGCAGTCAGTGCTCTTACCTGCATAGGCAATTCTCTAGTCCACTATGTGAACATTTTTATCAGGAATATG